TCTTCGCCCCCCCCCCCCAGCACCAAGAAGCATTAAAGCTGTGAGCGAGCCATTTGACCAATGCATCCATTCGTTGGCTCTGGAGCCCCATCCTTCCCGAGCCGAGGCCAAAATGGGTGAGCCGGAGGCTAAGAAACTGCGAGCTGGCTCACAGCAGCTCGGCTCAGAGGGAGCCCTGCGAGTCCGGACCGCCCCGCCCCGCCCCGCCCGGGCGCTCACCGTCTCCTTGTCCATCAGCAGGACCTTCATGCCGGGCCCGCTGGCCTCGATCATCTTGCCGATGTACTGCTTCACGGCGAACACCACGTTCATCTTGCACGCCCGCCGGTGAGCAGGAGCCCCCGAAGCCGCTCTCCCCGCACCGCCCGCGAAGAAGAAGGAGAACGAGGAGGAGAAGAAGGCCGCCGCTGCTGCTGCTGCTTTGCTTCCTCGTCTGCCTGCCTGCCTGCCTGCCTGCCTCCCGGTGCAGCGCTGGGAAGGGTAGTTCGGGGGGGAAGGGCCGCCGCTCCGCAGCAGCCGAGCCGGAACTACGATCCCCAGAAGCCTCCACGCCGCTGGGCAGGGTTTTTCCAAGAGCAGCTGAGCCTTTGCGCTTCCCCCGAGCTTCTCCGATTCCCGGAGCTTGGAGCCGGCTGGCCTCTTCCCCTTTTTGACCCGCGTAGGTCAGGGGCAATGCTCCCTCTAAGCTGCGGGGTCATGTGAGCAAAAATTCTGCTTTCTCAGCTCCTGGCATTCAAGTGGTGAGTGAGCGACTTGGCTGCTGCCAGGGGCAGATGAAGGCTCACTGGTGCCCTAAACACTGTCCAATCTCGGTGCCCCCCCCTCCTTTCCACACTGACGCCCAGTCCGTTTTAGTCGTTGACCTGTCTGACCTGATAGACAATGCTTGGTGCAGCAATACAGAAATTTATTCACTGTACAAAACTGTCTAACCAGATAGACAATGCAGGTTGCAGCAAGACAGAAATTTATTCCTAGGATAACACACAATATACTGTACAAACTGTCTGACCAGATAGACAATGCAGGTTGCAGCGAGACAGAAATTTATTCCTAGGATAACACACAATATACTGTACAAACTGTCTGACCAGATAGACAATGCACGTTGCAGCAAGACAGAAATGTATTCCTAGGATAACACAATATACTGTACAAACTGTCTGACCAGATAGACAATGCAGGTTGCAGCAATACAGAAATGTATTCCTAGGATAACACAATATACTGTACAAACTGTCTGACCAGATAGACAATGCAGGTTGCAGCAAGACAGAAATGTATTCCTAGGATAACACAATATACTGTACAAACTGTCTGACCAGATAGACAATGCAGGTTGCAGCAATACAGAAATTTATTGAAGGTCAAAGAAGACGGGGACGGCAAAGGATGAGATAGTTAGACTGGTGTTATCGAGGCAACGAACATGAAATTGAGCCAACTTCAGAGGACGGCGGAAGACAGGAGGGCCTGGCGGGAACTGGTCCATGGGGTCGCGAAGAGTCGGAACTGGTCCATGGGGTCGCGAAGAGTCGGACTCGACTGTGTAACTGAGCAACAAAAAATAAGCTTTCATGTGCGTAATGAAACTTTAGATGCTCTGTCTTCTTGGTGCTTGGGGGGGGCAACAGTGGGAGGGGCTTCTAGTGTCCTGGCCCCACCGCTGGACCTCCTGAGGGCCCCTGGTATTTCTGGCCACTGTGTG